ATCTCTTTTGAATGCTTAGCAAGATTTGGCAAGGCTGTACATAAATAATTAAAAAAAACATTGTGAAAAAAAGAAATGATGGGATCTCCATATTATGCACTGTATTTAACTTTTTACAAAACGATAATACATTTAAATTTGAAACTGTAACAGCCATTTTAATTATGAGCATTAGCAAACTTCTTACTGAGTGAATTGTTATACAATTTTTAGTGCACAGTGCTTTGACCTTTTGTTTTGAAATTTTCTCAAATGATTGACAATGTGTTTATCTTCAAAACGCCATCGGGGCATTGTTTTTAGTTGAATAGAGCAATCGTACAGATAACTAGCCTGGATGTTAATTTATGCATAAACTTGAAGTAGTGAAATTTGAGCTGCTGCCCTACAAAATTGACAACTGGTAGACAGTTTTCAAGACGGCACTTTCTTCATAGTAAACAGATGTACCCATAAACCAATTTTGACAGGAAACAGAAGCATGGTTTAGAAGCTAATTTTTTTTAATCACTTTTGACCAAAAAATCCCATTTTTGAGCATATTTTAAACTACAGTGTCCATAGAAATAAAATACTAACAAAACTTTAAAATTCATACAATAAGCTTTCCGAAAATATATAGTTTTGTGGACAAGGGCGGTCATCTTGGTTTCCTAATTAATTAATTAAAATAAATAAAATCAGGTAAACTGCATCTCTACCTTAAATGATGTGAAAACAGCCGAATGACATTACAAACATTATCCAGCCAGGAGAACCATATACTGATTTATATAAGTTTGGGACACACGATTTTACGCCAAGGATGACAAATAACTGTAACTGAAGCGATTGCCTAACTGATATGTTTTGTAAACTCGCTCGATTATAAAGATTGCGTTTTTACACAGTTTCATTCATCACGTGACGAGTGTCCCAATTCCAGGCATGCAGAAAAAACAGGCATTAATAGTTTGACCACTGAGTATGCTATATAGCACTATATTATACATAATTAAATATGAATAATAAATGAATGCATTCATTCACTCATTCATTTTTTCGCTCACCCACGTAGTCACATACACACCAAAACACGCATTAATTCTAACCTTAATCAGAGTTGACATGCAACCCTGATCGATCATATTTTATTGTTACAGCTTACACACATTTCTCTCACCATCCTTTTCTAACAACCCATCTTTTAGCTACACTAAAAATTAATCACTTGTAATAAAGCCCTATTTTACTACGACAAAACAGATTTTATCTAATCCTACAATTAAAGGATGGAACAGATGTGAAATACAGCTGAATGACATTATAAACATTATCCAGCCAGAAGAACCATATACTGATTTATTTAATTTCGGGACACATGATTTAATTTAATTTTTCAAACGCTTTAAACAACCCCACGTAGTGAATTGCGAGCAATTATAGACAGTTGGGATTTTTTTTATATCATAACTGTAATCGTAACTATATTGTATAATTATATATTCGTGTACATACGCTCACTTATTTTAATTTTAAATTCACCATACTTTTATCGTTTTTTTGGTAATTACAAGAACACACAATCAACTGAAACAAATAATACCTCCAGCTTCCGATCGCCATACACGCGTTTACTCGAGTCACCTCTAAGCACACGATCCGAAAGTAAAATCAGAGAGAATATTTCATGAACTACTACGATTTAAAACATTTATAATACGGCCAATCACTGCATGAAAATTCGAATTTCCGTCGTAACCGCATTCCGGATTAGTAATGTGTTTTGCTGTACAACTGTTGTTTACATTTGGGTAAATAAACATTCGAATTTTCCTTGCGTAACCCTCAAAAGTGAAACGACGTAAATTTAGAAGTTCCTAAATTTTACGCTGAACTTAAAGAACTGATATACTACTACATTGCCCGTTGTACATTTTCAGCGTAAATTGACGGGCAACTCTGAGTTTAACGTTGTTTTTAGAGGGACTGTGCACTGGCTAAGAAACTTACTATCCTGTTAATAATATGCAAAAATCTGTAGTCATTTTAACTATGATTACTAAGTACAGTAACTAGAAAATTATATATGCAAGTTCTACGGTTATAACACAATTCCAAAGCAAGTGTAGATTGCAGAATACCAGGAAGTACCACAGAGTCCCATCGCTATAACTATCGTTAGTTTATTTTTCTCAAGAACAATGTCCGTAGATGTGCATGCGTTGTTTTTCATGTCGGAAACGCCTTGCCAAAATGAATAGATATGAATATAATAGTAAATCGCCCAAATAAACGTTTACATTTTAACAAGCCTTACAAAATAAACAATTAGTTATTTTGACCTCATTCCAATGTTTAAACTTCTAAAACCACGTACGACTTTATTCACTAATAATAACTGAATCAAATCAAAATACTGAATATAGAGTACAAACAGATACATTTTAGATAAAAATGTTTTCTGATTTGTATAAACCACGAATAAATTAATTCAATTAAGTCGAAATGATTTATAATTAGCTGTTACTTATCCTGTAAAATTATTATGACGTGACTGTTATACTTGGGTTGTTGGTCAATTTTATTTTGCTAGTATGAAGAATTAAGAATTATTTGCGAATGCATGTTTTTTGCTGTTCTTCTTTTTTTGTTTTATGACTTCGAAGAGGTCATCGCCCAGTAATGAAAAAGAAATCAAACGACGACTGATTTGATTCACCTTTATTATTTCAAAGAAATTGATAGCGTCATAACATTAACATATTTTTAAAGAATCATCGTCTGCTCGATAATTTGCACGGATAATTTATTGTTGATATTGTAAACGTACTTCGTACTTTGACTCACTGATTTAATGGTTAACGCGCTTCAGCCAAGGTATAAACGTGTACGTATCACGTGTCGTTTCTAGTTGTTTGTGTTGCGTCTTACTAATCAAATGCATCTCATTAGTCCAGAACCAGACGTACATGACAGATTAGAAACGCATATAATAGAATATGTTTATCCGTCTTTCAGAGTGAAAACACAAATATGCGTAATAGCTACCCATGCTGCACCCTGTCAAAAAAACTGTTCTTGATCGAGGCAAACGATACCATGGGTTATGTTATTATTATTGGCGTATGAAATTGTGTCTCGAACAAGATTAATATTATCATAGATCTGTCGACCTGGGACTGAACATCGTTGGTCAACATGAATAATATTTCCTATGACAGACTTAAACCTGAGTGAGAGTATTTTAGTGATTTTTTTTTGATTTTTTTTGTTATGAATGTTTTTTTTGTACCCGGCGACAGTTCTGGACATTGAATGGCACTGTTGTCTCTCCTGAGTTTTTTGTATGTGCAAGTTGCAAGTGCTGACATATAGTGCATTTTGCCACAGAAGCCTTATTCATGTTTTGGGACTACACACATGACAGGGCTGTGCGGCCACCTCTCTATCAAATGACAGGATTTGATTTGAACTTGAATGTTATTTACCGTTTTCTCTGCAGTTTATTTTTTATGACACTTATTGTATGTGATTTCGTCTGTTGATAAATAAATCCTGTATGATCTTTCTTCGTACGAGACAGTGATGACAACTTCAAGTTTGTCCTCGCAAATCATATAAACTTGTCTCTGGAAAGACGTAACATGCCTGAGCTCGGGTTTTATTACAGCCCAACGGAATTATCCTGATTGAATTTACTACACGCCCGTAAGGATTTAATGCCGTGTAATAGTCTCTTTGTAGTTCGTTCGGGAAAGAGGTGGATATGTTCTGGTCAGTGGCCAGGGAATCAGAAGTCACCGGGTTTGAGGATGAAGGGGAATCGCTCACTCGACTTGCCTGCTTGAGTTCAGGGATCACAACGCATGTGTCACGAAATCAAGACTCATGCACAAATACACGCAAAACTCGATAGATGACACGTAGTTATCGTTGGTTTCACACTCGTTTATTGGAATAAAACACTGAGTTGGGAAAGCACACGAGGTTTTTGTTTAGTCGTGGGAAATCCACGACGACCAAATGACGCCTAGTATTAATTTTCATATTACTGTCTTAGTGCGTTTAACATGTTGGTCTGAAGGCAAATGATGGCAGCCGTTTCATTACTAATTCAAACATGCGATGCTAAACTTTTTGATATGCGAATTTAACTCATGACAGCCGTATCAAGAACAGCATTTGAAATATAAATAAGATAAAATACCCATAGTGGAAGGTTTTACCAATGGATTACCAACAGTGCTAAATCTGATCGTACACGCCTGTCTACAGTTTGCAGTGAATCTAAATATACAATTACGCTTCAACTGACCCAGGATGCTGGAATGATGATATGATCACCGACAATATCAAAAATAGAAGTTACATAAGCCTCGATAGTAACGCCGGCAATCCAAACTAATCCAATGTTTGCCGGTCAAACCCCCGCAAACAGGTTGAGACGACTTATTGTGACGCGAAATAAACGCAAATCAACCAAACAATGCAGCAAGAGGAAGCACAAAACACTTATAGAATGCCTTAATAAAGTTGAACTACTCACACGAGTCTCAGAAAACAGAAAAAAAGTGGCTTTTTCAGGAGCTCAGGAATTGTATTCTCATTAACACACATACATACTATGTACAAACGCAGACACACTAATCGCGAAGATTACCATTGTGTGTAGTTGTGAATAGCTCAGTATACCGATATTGTACAACGTTATGTTAGAACGAACACTCGTACATAAATGTATGTATGCATTTGTGTTGATATTTTGAGTAGACAGTTTTGATTAATTCATCTCAACGTATCGGAATAGCTTGTACATGGTCTGAGCTACCTACCATTCCCAGCATTCTCCACGTAAAGAATGGTATTGAGCATGCGCGAATTAAATCTCTTGCGTTTGCACTTTTTTATTTGGCCAATGGAAATGCTTCCAAATGGAGGGATTATAGAAACACGAGCGTCAGCAAAAAAAAATAATCTTTAAAATCGAATGAACAGATCAAATTCATCAGTTGCATGATTTTCTTTCTAGAGTCTCTACATAACATTTCTTATTGAAGAATATTGTAGGAAAGACATCAATGATGTTACGTTTACTATTAATCCTTGCGGTAACCAGTCTGATACAAGCAGCCCCGAACGAGGTGGGTTTACTCTTTTATCAATCTACGACGTATTGTGTATATGAGTACTATTAAGTTTATTTCACTTTTTTATATATTATACCGTCCTTTGTTGCTTAGACAGCGTTACACCAATTGTAATCTTACACTGTGGAAATTTAACTATTGGTCTGTTTCAGTTTCTGGTTTTTGGGGGGGCGGATACGTAATGACATGTTATATAAAAACAAACGATAACATTCTTAAACAAATTAGAATCATTCATGATACGTACACGTTAAGACTTTTGGCATCAAAAGTGTGCAGCATTCATGTAGATTCAGATGTTCTGAATGCAATTTAAAATTTACATTTACATCACTAAATCAACGACCGCAGTCCATTGTCGCACACTTTTCACACGCAAATAGACAAAAGCGCAATATTTGGTTTCAGAATTAAATGTCGCATAAGGCAGTGATACCATCACTATATGGATTCGAATTTCAGCATTTTCAAACAAATTTGTTTGGGTATTACGACTGAGCAAAACATTTTAATTAATTTATCTGATTAAACACGGTTTTACTAATTTTATGTCGTATTGCTGTGTTCATTTTCAACGAGCGGTTTCTAAAATATATATATATATTATATTAGGAAGGTAGTCGATTGTTCCAGGTGAGAGTGCTCGATACTAAACGATGAGTTTGTAGAGCAGAT